GATGGGCTCTGGCTGGAGAACCCTCCTCCTCGGACACCTTGCAGAAAAGCTGCTCCTGAAGCAGCTTCTTGCAGAGCCTCTGGCCATCTGCTGCACAACAGGCTGCAGCCCACAGGCAAGTGTCCCCAGTCAACGGGAGCGCTAAAAATAATCCCAGCCTCGCCTTAAGGAGTTTAGGAGTGAAGGGAATTTACAAATACAGAAACACATGGGAAGATGTTTGTGTCAGATTCCCACACCAACAGTTTTCTTCTTGTCAGAATTCTTGGTGGCTGAGTGGGTGCAAGTGTGGGGAAAGAGGCACGGAGACATTAAGGAGGGGGGAACGTGATGTTTTGATGGTTTATTTGATCTCAGCTCAGAGACAGAGAGAGAGAGAGAGATGTTTGGGCTCTAAAAAGATGTAGGTAACTTGTGGTAGCAATCATACAAAAGCACCCATGGGAACAAGGGTTTGAAAATTGCATGCAAAAATGAAAATAATTTGGGGGGGCAGCTAGAATTATGAGCAATTTGTTCTTAAATCCTATATACTGTTCAATCTCTTTTAAACAGTTCTTTAAAGCTTTTAAAAATAAGTATTTCTTTTTCATTGGAAAGGCAGATATATACAGAGAGGAGAGACAGAGAGGAAGATCTTCCATCTGAAGGTTCACTCCCCAAGCAGTCACAATGGTTAGAGCTGAGCCAATCTGAAGCCCGGAGCCAACTGCCTTCACTCGGTCACAGGGTCCCAAAGCTTTGGCTGTCCCTGACTGCTTTTCTAGGCCATAAGCAGGAAGCTGGTTGGGAAGTGGGGCTGCTGGGATTAGAACCGGTGCCCATATGGGATCCTGGTGCTTCAAAGCAAGACTTTAGCCACTAGTCTATCATGCCTGGTTCAAGATTTTTTTTTTTTTAATTGGAAAGGCAGTTTTACAGAAAGGAGAGACAGAAAGATCTTCCATCTGCTAGGTCACTCCCCAAAGGGCTGCATCGGCTGGAGCTAAGCTGATCCGAAGCTAGGAGCTTCCTTCTGTCCTCTCACATGGGTTCAGGTTCCCGAGCCTTTGGGCCATCCCTCGCTGATTTCCCAGGCCACAAGCAGGGATGGGAAGTGGAACAGCAAGGACACAAGCCAGCACCCATAGGGGATTTTCACACTTGAAGGGGGAGGATTAGCCAAGTGAGCCATTGCACAGCCCCTCCCTCCTTTCAATGATGTGTTTACACTTTTCAAAGCTGCCTTCCTGATTGGTCAGCTGGTCCTATAAAATCATGGTTTCTGAAGCATCTTGCTTATCGTCTCTCACAGCAGTTTTTAGGACAAGGGAACACTTGTGCGCAACCAACAGGTTTAGGTGACAGGTTAACACGGTCTGGTGTGACCATTGCCATGAAGCACTCACTGTACAGCTATGTCAGAGGGCCAACACAGAGAGTGGCAGAGCAGGTGGACGAAGGCAGGTGTAGACCAGGGAGGCTGGTTTGAATGTGTGTGAAGGTGCCAACACACACAGCTTCATGCAACCCTTCTGTTAAGGATAACTAAGAAAGTTGCTAATGGTGCCTTCTACCTGGGAAGGGGACTTGAGGGTCTGCAGTGGGTGACAGCTACACGTTTCATGATGCAGATTCCTATACTGTCTGGAAAACGCAAGCATGAGGCTGCTTCTGAAAGTTCATAGAAAAATGGAATTGGGCCCGGCACCATGGCCTAGCGGCTAAAGTCCTCGGCTTGAATGTGCCAGGATTCCATATGGGTGCCGGTTCTAACCCCGGCAGCTCCATTTCCCATCCAGCTCCCTGCTTGTGGCCTGGGAAAGCAGCCAAGGACGGCCCAAAGCCTTGGGATCCTGCACCCGTGTGGGAGACCTGGAGGAAGTTCCTGGCTCCTGGCTTTGGATCAGCGCAGCACTGGCTGTTGTGGTCACTTGGGGAGTGAATCATCAGATGGAAGATCTTCCTCTCTGTCTCTGTTCCTCTCTGTATATCTGACTTTGCAATAAGAATAAATAAATCTTTAAAAAAAGAGGGGGGAAAAAAGAAAAATGGAATTGTTTATTTTGGATGAAGAATGCTGACACTCGAGCACGGGGTTTCCATAATGTGCGTTTCCTATGGACTTTCCGCAGACCTTGCTGTGTGAGAGTGTCTGTGATTAGATTTGGAAAATGTGATACACTGCTGTCACCGTTAGTAACTCCGGCCTTCCTAGGCAATGTTCTATGAGTCTGTTCATCTTAGAGAATCTGAAGAGAGAAGAATCAAAAGCCCTATTCTTGTTCCCATACTTAGAAAACAATCTGATTACGCCTAGAGTTGTCAAAGTGTGGAGGCAACGTGTGAAAAAACCAAATATGCTCCTCTTTCAGACGGAGGGCTACTGAGATGTACTGAGACGTATATACCTCCGTGTGGCTGAAGAACTGGGTCACCTCCCACCAGGCCCTCCCAAATAGAGCAGTGAAGAAAGCAGCCTTTGGTGCTCCTCTCTTGGCAGGGTCCACACAATCACCCCAAAGCTTAGGGGATCATGTCAGCTCCCAAATGCCCTGCACCGGGTTGGACCTGAACCATCTTCCGCTGCCCTGGTCCCCAGGCAGGATTCTAGAGCTTGCTGGAAGGAACCCAAACAAGTGTGAAGTGCCTTGACACAGAGGACTGGCTTCCACCTAGGCGGTAGCTCAGACCTCTGCTGGCTCCCCTGGGTGGTGTCCAGGCCTGGGTCCCTTTGCCCGATGACACCACAAGGCATTACTGAGCTTCCTGGACTTTTGGATTTCACATATTTCAGGTTCAGGGGATTTCACTATAAACCCATGAGAAAGGACGGCAAAAATCTGCCTGCCATTTCCTCCTTGGGATCTTGGCCTGATGGACACGCAGGGAGCTACTTAGATCAAAGGAAATACCGCGAAGGTGCGGGCGGGGCGGGGCGGGGGAGGGGATGGGGGATGGCGTGGCCTCTCCCACAAGACTCACTCAGGCCCCTAGTTGTGGAAATACTACTGACTCTGCTACACATGAAGGCTGGCACGGACACTTTAAATAGGAGGAGGGAGTGGGCCTCAATGGGGAGATGGCAGGAGAGGCCTGGAGCAGTTGGGCACTCAGGAAAGGTGGCATGTGGCATATACACAGGGTGTGTGCTGGGGCGCAGCACGGGTTGGTCTGACGGAGCCAAACCATTCTGTCCCCCCAGACAAGCTTCCCCAAGGTTATGCTAACAACCCCCCATGTCCATCTCCTTCTCTCCAAATGCGTGCTGCAGATGAACACTCGTTCATGATAACCACGTCACTGACACGTACGCTCAGCCATCCAGCCCGGGGCCACCCCAGGTTCTTAATCATTCACAGGGTCTTTTCTGGTGGCATTCCACCCACTCTCAGAGATCTGTTCTAATCCGTAGACCACTAGAGCCTTCAGCAGCGGCACAGGGCGAGAAAGCCCTTTGTAAGTATACATCGCTTACACTTTTGAAACCAGTGGCTAAAGCGGCGTCTGCTCTGGCCAAGCGTGCGGCATGGTGCTGGGTCTGTGAGCGCACGGAGGTGGACCCTGTTGACCAGCACACGACCTTGGACAGATTTTCTCAACCCTGGAGCTACGAACCCGACATCATCTCAGGGTTATCGAAACCACTCAAGAAACACCCTCAGAACCTTCTTTCCCTTATTGGTCTCTAGGGCGTCATCAAAGGACCATCCCCCATCGGTGCTGGTGTGGTCTGACAGCAATGAGCGGCTCCTGAGGCCTCCTCCTCCCCAGAGGACACAGGAGGAAAAAAAAAAAAAGACTGACACATGTGTCCCACCTACCTTCTCCATACCCGACTGTCCCCACCCTAATCAGAGACCCACGTGGGCATGCATCCCTCTCAACTATGTAAACAATATTAAAAATAAAATGTAATGGGCCCGGCATGGTGGCCTAGTGCCTAAAGTTCTCACCTTGATCACACTGGGATCCCATATGGGTGCCGGTTCTAATCCTGGCAGCTCCATTTCCCATCTAGCTCCATGCTTGTGGCCTGGGAAAGCAGTTAAGGATGGCCTAAAGCCTTAGGACCTTGCACCTGCGCAGGAGACCCAGAAGAAGCTCCTGGCTCCTGGTTTCAGATCAGGTCAGCTCTGGCTGTTACGGCCACTTGGGGAGTGGACCAGCGGATGGAAGATCTTTCTGTCTCTCCTCCTCTCTGTAAATTTGACATTCCAATAAATAAATAAATAAATCTTTAACAACAACAACAAAGCCAGGATACATGAATTTGCCTCACTCTGCTTTGCCCTGTGACTACGAGGAAAAAAAATCTGTCTGTGGGGAGACACAACCTCTCCTTGCCTTCTCCCCACGGGGCCAGCAGGGGACCCCATGCTGAGCAGTCTGGAGGGGTCACGACATCAAGCGACATTATGGACAGTTCCTAATCTCCTGGCTGCCTTAGGCCACTTTGCTGGACTTTGCCTTCTGAGACAGTTCTGTCTTCAGAATAGAATTTTCTCCCAGTGGTTACTTTTTGTTTGTTTGTTTTGTTTTTTAAAGATTTATTTAGGGAAGCGGGGCCATTGGGATTAGAACTGGCACCCATATGGGATTCTGGCACATGCAAGGCAAGGACTTTAGCTACTAGGCTACTGCATTGGGTCCAATGGTTACGGTTTTCAATGTTTCATAATCTCATAGTGCCTCTCCTTCTCCTCACTTTCCACACTGTTCTCAAAATCTGAAGCTGCAAACTGGAATGCAGAATCCAGGGCAGGCTCTGACCTGTCCCTTCCCACTCAGGTCGTTCCAGCTGCTACCCCAGGACAGGCTGTCCCCGCTAGCCAGCAGGGCAGCTGCTGACTCACGCTTGCCTGGGGATCCGCAGGGTCCCAGCTCCTGCCCTCTTCTGCTACCACAGCTACCCAGCACAGGGCCCCCAGAAGTGCTCTGACTATTGGCTTCTGGGGTCTCAAACCGTGACCTGCTGGGGCTCCTCTGGAAGCCTGGCCTGGCCCACACCCAGCACTAACCTGGAAGACGTCATTGGCGCACTTGCGGCAGAGGTTGTGTTGGCAGGGCAGGATGACCACCGGCTTGGAGAACATCTCCAGGCAGATGGGGCAGAGGAGCTGCTTCTCCAGGCTGTCCATGCTGTGTGCATCCCCTAGCAGCGGCTTGAAACCCACGGTGAAGTTCATCCCCTCGGCGGTCGTGCCTGCCCGGGCCTCTAGACCCTGCCCTCCTCACTTCCACTGGCCTGTAGCTGCTCCTCTCCTTCCTGCTCACTCTGGAAATGGCTCTGCTATAGCTCCTGTCCCGTCCTCTCACAGCTTGTCTTGCCCTTGGGGAGTTGGTTCCAGACGCTTCTTGTCTCTCTGCTCTGGATTCTGCCCAGACACTTGTGGCTCTGTCTGTCTCTCCCCTTCTCTAAAATCCTCTTTGGCCTCCCAAAGGACCCCCTCTCCTGCTCACTCCGTGGGCAGTGCTGTTTGTCTCTGGCTCCTGAGAGGAGATAAACTTCACTGTGGGGGTGGGGAGCTGAGGGGCATCGGCATGACATTCCAGATCCCAATTTAGCTCATGTAAGGCGAGCCACAGCTGTCGCCGAGAGCGAGTGACCCTGACTCACGCGGGAACAGGCAGGTGTCCCTGCCGACAGTGGAAGGTGGGCCAGCAAACATATCAGGCAGGCATCTAGAAGGCTCCTGGGAGCCCCTGGCCCCAAGTTCTGGCACGGGTCCTTCTTCCAGGACAACAATATGAGCTAAATCAGTCCATGGTTTAGGGTGGCAGGAAAGATCTGACCAGACCTTAAAGAGAGACAGAGTTGATAACAGTCTCCTCTTCCTCGGATTAGCCAGTGACTCCACCCCTCTTCCCCAAGACCATGTGGTTCGCAATGGGGCACGAGGAAGACGGCCTCTTGTCTGACACTTCCAGCCACGTTTTGCTCTTGCACAGCCCTTTCTTCCCCCTAAAGAGGCTACAGAAGCTGCAGGTGGCTGCTGTGCTCCTGAGGCAGGGTGGGATGCTGCTCCACCCACACAACACTGGAGCCACTCCAGGAAATTTTAGTTTGTTGGGAAATTGGGAGACGCTGAGCTGGGTTGAGAGGAGCTAGTTGGTCTCCAGGGAAATCTCAGAGCACAATCACAAGGCTTGGGAAGTGTCTGCCTGGCCCCACACTTGTCCCTGCCGATGGCCCAGCAAGCCAAGACAGTCCACAGACAACAGACAACAGTTACCACAGACAACAGTCCTGGTTTTCTCTTTTTCTCTGTAGGATTCTTTCTTGATCTGTCATTTCTGGGTCCAAGACAATGCACGGGGATTGATGAAAGTTCTTTTATTTACTAGCATGTCTTAAACCTTTCTCCCAGATGAGAGAGAAAAAGTTAGAGGAGTCCCTAGGCCCTGACGCTGCGTGGACGGGAAACAGGTGGCGTGGAGAGGACACGAAACAGGCAGCACGGAGAAGCACGAGCAGGAAAAGAGTCGGCAAAGTCCTACCTTTTCCTGACCGTGTCTCATGCTCTGGTTTAAGAACAAAACACACGGCAACCAGCCTGTACAAGATGACGTCCACAGGACTGAGTGAGCAGGTGCCGATGCCTGAACTTCAGCCCACCCAAGGGCTGAGGCTAATGGGTGCTGGGCTGGTGGCTGGAGTCCATGGAGAGTCCACAGGTGGAACAAATGTCCCCAAGGAACAAAGGCACTCACATCTTTCCTGGGTTGACTCAGGATGTGTTGCTGAGTCTGGCTCCGGCCCATAAACGTCTTGGCTGATCTGGGAGTTGTTGGTCCACACAGTTGCAGCAAAGGAGGCTACAGCAAAGGAAGGTTTAACTGCGTAGCAGCTTAGAGCGCAGGGTCCACCTACTTGGTTAGCAAGTGGCTCATCAATCTACCGGACACCAAGGTAGGCCAGGAGGAAGAATCCTCAGAGAAAAATCTTCTACCACTGCTGGAGACTTTCCAACACACCGATGAGAGGGCTGTTCTCTGAGAGATGGCAGCGGAAAAGAAGAGTAGCTGGGCAACCACATATGGCCAGTCACACTGTCAAGAGCAGAGATGGGGTCCTGGCTGGGATGGGTGTCATCAATATTTTGGAAGCAGGGATTCCTACAGGGAGAGGAACCAGGGTCAGGGTCAGGACAGGGTACTTGCTCTCCTTGCAATGTGTCCAGGGGACTAAGCAGCAGAGGGTGCACTGTGACAGCATCTCGTGGCAGAAGAAGATGGCACCTTGTTAACTATAAGGAATGATTGTCATCTGGACTTGAAGCAAACTTGATATCCATAAGGTCAGTACTTGGGGTTTATACGGGTATACATTTTTCACTGGCAACTCACCTGAAGTTAGTTTATCTGCCTTTTCATTTCTTTCATGTTAATTTCAGTTTACATACCTCATTTTCCTTCATCACTTGTTAAATATCTTCAAAGTCTTCATCACTTTTAAAGCCACCTCTGGCTCCTATGACAGAATTTATATGTACAATGACACACAGAAACATGTAGTAACGAGTTTTCAGTCTACCAGTGAGAAAATGGTTCCCTTACAGTTACTCAACAACACCACTAGGTGGCACTAGTGCGGACTTCAGTTAAATTCCAACTTTGAAGATTGTGTGCGGTGGGAGTAACTATCATCTTCCTCTTGAGTAGATCGATGCTCTAACTGCATCATTGACTCTCTCTTCAGTTACTGCTCTTTACTTTTTCTTTTTAAATAATTTTTATTGATATATAGAGAACACTGGTGCGATGGCTCAGTGGCTAAATCCTCGTCTTGCACAAAACAGCATCCCATACAGATACTGTTTTGTGTCCTGGCTGTTCCACTTCCCATCTGGTTCCCTGCTCGTGGCCTGGGAAAATAGTAGAGGATGGCCCAAAGCCTTGGGACCCTGAACCCACATGGGAGACCTGGAAGAAACTCCTGTTTTCTGGCTTCAGATTAGCTCAGCTCTGACCGTTGTGGTCATTTGGGGAACGGAGCAGCAGGTGAAAGATCTTTGTCTTTCCTTCTGTCTGTAAATCTGCCTTTCCAATAAGAATAAATAAATCTTTTTGGGCAAAAAACAAAAGGCAGGTGCAGCCCACATGACATTCAAACTCCAGGTGTGTGGGATAAGACACTCAGAAATACATTATGCACCTTCTCTTTCGACACTGTCCTAATGGCACACACATTACAGGGTTCACCTGCTCTGGCCGCCTTGCTGTCCGACCCAGCTCGGCTGGGACCTGCCTAGGGGCCTCACCTGCCCGCGGAGGCTGAGTCTGGACGTTCTCTGGCTGTTTCCTGCGGCTGACATCCTCGGGCGGAGGCTTCAGAGCCCCACAGCAGAAGCAGCAGCAGCAGCAGCAACAGCAACAGGTGAGCAGGGCACAGAGGATGATGAGCGTCTAAGAGGCGAGGGACAACGGCCTCGGCCCTGCTGTCCTATTTTACCGTGCAGGTTCCCCTCCCTGCCCTACCCCAGCACCCAGAATGTACCTTGAACCAACAACTGTTCACTGTGTAATAGTATCTGACACCTTCCTCTCCATAGTGATCATAGAGATACACTCCAAACGAGCCATGCTGGTCATAGATTCTGCGCTTCTTTGGGTCACTCAGGATGGCATGGGCTGTATTGATCTCTTTGAATATTTCTGCAGCTTGAGGGTCTCCTGGGTTCTTGTCTGGATGATACTGCAAGGCCAGTCTCCTACACAGGCAAAACCCCCCAAAACGGGTGGTGTGGGGAGGCGATGGTAAGAGGGGATGGAGGGAGGGTGAGGGTGGATGACAGGGATACATCTCTAGCCACTGAGAAGGCCTGCTTGAGGCATGTGGTCCAAGAAGCCAAGTTCACCATCCCTATCCATGTCACATGGAAGGGGGTGATGGCGCCCATCTGGTTCCAAGGCTTGCTGGGATTGACAAGTGGGTCAGAAGGTAAGGCATCAAAAAAGGGTTCCACGAAGGCTGGGTGCGAACCTGTAAGCCCTCTTGACCTCTTCCGGGGAGGCGCCCTTCTTCAGCTCCAGCACTGCGTAGAGGGTGGAGCCTCTCTTGGACAGCCGGCGGGCCGCCTGGTCCACATGAGACATGTTCTGGGCCAGAGGAGAGGAAGCGCATGGCAGAAGTCCCACAAGATAAGCAAGCACACCACAACAGGACAAGAGCAGCTGCCAGCGGTAGGACTGGAGGGAAAACGCCAGGGCCCAGGCTGTGGGCCGCATCCAGGGCTCCCTTCCACTTCCCAGCATCCTCTGGCACACTGCCACATCTGAGGGAGGAGAGAGCTCAAAAGGAGGCTGAAGCCAGGGGAGGGGCGGGCTGTCTGTCAGGAACTGCTGTCAGCTTTGCTCAACAGCCCGGGGTCCCATCGAAAAGCCCAGGGCAGAGTCAGCCCCAGGATAGAGGGGACAGGGCTGGGGACACCAGCTAACTGTCCTCCCCAGGGAGGAAAGCCCAATGGGGTGGGCCTGGGGGTGGGTGTTGTAGGGGGAGGCGCTTCTGGGGAAACGGGGACAGGGTCCCTCCTCTCCCCAAGGGTGGAGGGGAGGCCCTGGAGGAGAACCAAGGCAAGGAGCTGGGTGCACAGTGACCCCACTAGACCTGGCCCCTTACTTCGTAGTCTTCGTTGTCTTCGTCGTAGCTCTCAGACGCCAGGTTATCCTCAACACCTTCCACCCTCCCGGGTGTGAAACTTCACACGGTCTACTAGCAGTCCATTGTGCGTGCGTGCTGCTCCGCCATTGCGGGCCGTTTTTGGCGCCACCGGAAGTGCCCGTGATGTGGTGGCTTCGTTGGCCCTGGGACTTATTTTGCTCGCAGGAAGCCTCAGCTCCCGGATAGGTGACGTCCTGCGGCTGAGGGTTGCTGAGCGTTGATGCTTCAGTCCCAGGATGGACGCAGGTTCTGGCCACCTTCTTCAAGGGGAGACCATCATCTACCCTGACTGCCGTCCTGGCTCCTCACCGTCCTGGCTCCTCAGTTCACTTAAGGAAAGATGGCGGATGGGAGGCGCAGCTGCCACAAGGCATCTCCACAGGTGTGGTATCTGCCCCCGCTAATTTAGAACGTGGGTTTCTCGGCTTGAGCTGACCTTTCCCTTCCAACTCCTGCACATCCTGAAGACACGTCTCAAATGTCAGTGTGCCTGAGTCGCCTTCCTCCCCAACCTAACCCTCCCGACACCTGACGGCACCTT